GCCTGAGGCAAATAAAATTCCAGTAATTTTGAAAAATGTTGTATTGGTGCTTTCCTAATAAAGGGATAATTTATCTCAATAAACACAGCCTTGTGTTATGAATTCCACAAAAATCATTTTTGCTATAGTGACAAGAGTGCCTCTTCTAGAGAGATCCAAGGTGCTCTACTCTAAACAGGTAACATAAGAGCGTGTCTGAATTCCATAGGAACATCCTCAAAGAGAGATACAAGCAAGACAAGTGACAGCTATTAAAAGATACCTTGAAATGGAAGCATAATTCCAGTCCCTAACTAGAATTCACGTGATTAATCAATAAAACAAACATCTTTGTTCCTTTTTATATTTTTTAGGAAATGTTTCTGTCCATATGTTTTAGTGGGAGTGAATACAACTAGTTATGTAGGCAGTCACCCCATCTATAAATTAGTTTATTATTTTCTTCATTACAAAGTATCAGATCATGCTTTCCAGAATTGAGATGCACTAAGATGTGGTGGCAATGTAAAGAGACTACAAGTGTGTAATATCTACACTTAATATTGCTGTTACTTCCTGTAGAAACCCAAACTTCTCACATTCTAAACATGCAATCAATATAAAATTTTTACACCTAGAACATTTCTTAAACTGAAGATTTCTAAGTTACATGAACCATTTGTTTCTCAGTATGTATCCTCACTGTTAAGGATGTTATGGGAGCTGTCAAACCTAGAGGACGCGAGGACTTGTGAATTCCTCCTTCCTGGCCACTGAAGTCCAGCTGGGTGCACTCTAAGACCCACTCTAAGATGCAGCTGCTGCTGTCCACATCTGCAGGTTTGGCCAGTAGTGAGGGTGAGTGTGTATTCCAGAGAGGCACATACACACACGGGATACTAACAGAGGTGGCCACACAGCGTATAATAGACAGAATCATAGAATATCTCGAGTTGGAAGGGACCCATAAGGATCATCGAGTCCAACTCCCTGCTCCTTGCAGGACTACCTAAAACTAAACCATATGAAGAGCATCGTTCAGACGGTCCCTGAACTCTGACAGGCTTGGTGCCATGACCACTTCCCTGGGGAGCCTGCTCCAGTGACCAACCACCCTCTCAGTGAAGAACCTTTTCCTAAGGTCCAATCTGAACTTCCCCTGATGCAGCTTCATTCCATTTCTTCGTGCCCTATCGCTGGTCACCAGAGAGAGGAGATCAGCACCTCCCCCTCCACTGCCCTCTTTGAGGAAAGTTGCAGACTGCGATGAGGTCACCCCTCAGCCTTCTCTTCTCTATTCTGGCTATATTGCTTAGAATTGTGCTGAAGACTTCAAGTGCTTTTAAGCACTGCTCAGATGGAAACAGATCTGACTTATCCTTATCTGGCTGACCATGAGTATATATGGACCCTTCTTTTCCTGATCATGTCGCTTGTAAATATAAAAGTGCCTAGAACTAGTGACTTCCTTAATCCATAGGTGAGCAACCTTTCTGATATTATGCAACATATATGATTAAGAACCAGAAAATGTTATTTTAGTGAGACAAAGGGAAAATGGAACTCCGACTGTTTGGCAAGCAGGAGATGACGTTCATAATTTAAGAGGCCCAGCTAATCTGCTGTGAGATGGGCCCAGGCTGGGCCAAAAATTCATCTGGGATCTAGGGCATGCTGCAGGTTAAGTTGGAGCGTCTCTTTTAAGTGATGCTTTCATCTCTTATTAAATTATTCTGATATAATTTATTATCTCCGTTGGTAAAAATGTATATGTCTTTTATTTCCAATTTGAATTTTAATTTGCTGCATCTCTGCTATTCCACAGAATTGCCAGTAGGTTCACAACACACTGATGTCAAAAAATGACTATAGAAAGAGCCAGATATACATATTACCTTTCAGCTCCCCTGACCAATTAAAGTTTCCTCAATAGGTACCTTCTCACATAACCTCTGAACTTGAAGTCCCTGCAAATTTGGAAACATGATATTGTGGAAAAGGAGGGATCCCTTCATTCTGCTTTCTGCCACCCAAGTGCTTCTACCCCATACTTTCTAACTACCTAGAACTGCACTTTGAAAGTGTGTCTGGATAGAGAAACTAGAGTACTTTTGCCTTGAGTATTACAAGCAGCTGTGCAGAGCATGCAACTTCAGCAGTTCATCTGGAAATGACCAGATACCCTGGAACTGGGCACTTGTGTTCTCTTCAGTAAGCCGTCAACTCAAAAATTTCCAGTCACCTCCACATGGAGTTCGTGTAGTTAAAAAAAACCCAAATTGTCTATTCCTATTGATGATGATAGACATTTTTCTACATGCAGGCAACAAAAACTACTTTATTTCTTAATGTGCATCTTCTTGTACAAGGTTCCCTGAGTGTAGTTGCAATACTAAATGCTATCTGTAAGTGCCATGCATTCTAAAAGTGAAAGAAGGATGCACCTGATCAACTCTTGGATTTTCATGATAGTTTAATGCAAATTAGTGCTGCAACTATCAAGAACACAAGTAAAAGCAAATATCTCTACTTAATTCCACAATCCAGACAAAGAACAGAAAGAGGATTTTTTCAGGCTACAAGGGGAGAATTTACATGAAGACAGACTGTTTAAAAGTCGTTTAAAAGTTATTTAGTAGGAAAATAGTATACAATAAATAAAGGCAGATGTTACATTCACATTCCACTTTTTACAGCAAAATCAGTGAAAGTCAAAATCAAGCTGAACAAGAAGGATGAAAAAAGCCAGGACAAAGGCAAAGGCAAAGGCAAGAAGAGGCAAAGCCGAGTAAAAGCCAAGCCTGTTGTGAGTGACAACGACAGTGATGAGGATCAAGATGAAAACGTAAGTTTTGTTCACTGAGATTTTGGAAATGGTTCCAGTGATTTCATCTATACCCTGTCCTGTTTGCACTCAGAATTTTCACCTCTTCATGCTTAGAAACATTAAGCATTGTTTTTAATCTGTGTCATCATCTTGGGAGGATGGGGGAGCAGGGTCAAACTGTGTTAAGATTTGCTTGTGGGGTCTGGTCTTGGTGCTGGAAGACAAAAAGTCTGACTCTTTTGGCACTTATTTTCTGAAGATGTTCTTTCTTTCTTCGAAACTTTAAAACTCATGGTTTGTTTGCTTTCATTCCCACCCTAGAAACACTTGGTTTTAATTTCTCATAGGTGCTTCTATTAATGCAACAAATGAAGACAGATCTTTCCAGACAATTTTAAAAATACTTGGGTAGACAGAAAGGAGCTAGTGTTTCCTGACTCTGTGCCTTTTCTTCTCTAAAGAGGCCCACAGCAATTTCATTGGAATGAAATGTCATGAAAGGAAAATAGTAAATAACATATTACTTTTCTTATGGCTATCTTGATTTGTCAATTTAATTGTAATTTTTCTTTTCTTTAACAAAATCCATAGAATACTTGGCAAAGAATTGCTGACTTTTCTTGTGTCTCTTACCTCTAGGACCAGTCAGAAGCAAGTGGAAGTGATGATGAGTAATTCACAGAGTTTATTTCCTTGGCAGAACTGACCCCATCCCCTTCCCTTCTCTCATTTTACAACCACTGAATTCATTTTGTCAAACAGACGTTGGGTTGTATTCTCATCCTCTATAAACTAGCTCTAGGATAGTGCCTGACAAACATATGATATCATAGTGTAAAAAGGGAAAAAAGTAACATACTGTGACCGAATGGGCCTCAAAGATTCTTTTAAAAATCTCCAAAACAACAAAAAAGCTTTTGATGAAAAAATGTGCATTGATAGTATATTTCTCTGGGTTGGATTTCCTTAGTAATGGTTTCATCATGCCTGGTTTTATCATTTGATGTTTTCAGTGTCATCAGAAAGACAAAAAAAAAGTCTTTTGTAGCACTGATAACCAGGAGAAGCCATAAAAAGCCACTGGTTATTTTATTTTTCATCAGGCAGTTTTCTGCTCTATTGTTTTTTTACACTGTGGTGCATATATGCAACTTTGTTTAATAGCTTATAAACATACAGTAGATAGATAGCCTTTACCTCACCTTGTCCTGTTTTTTTTCACTTTATGCTTGATGATCTTCAGAAAAATGCTTTTTTGAATTGTAGCAAATTTATGTGTACTGTAAACTTTGCTAAGCTTTTCTCCTCTTGATTAAAAACAATGGGTTGAAAAATGTTTTAGAATATTGCAATAGTGTAATGAATGGCTTCTTTCATCAAACTGATCTTCTATGTTGCCAGTGTGCATTCTCAACTTTTCCCTAAAGTGTACTTAATCTTTGCTTTCTTTGCACAATGTCTTTGGTTGCAAGTCATAAGCCTGAGGCAAATAAAATTCCAGTAATTTTGAAAAATGTTGTATTGGTGCTTTCCTAATAAAGGGATAATTTATCTCAATAAACACAGCCTTGTGTTATGAATTCCACAAAAATCATTGCAAGCGCCATACGATCTAACCCCTCCCTAACATACAGCACCACCCCCCTGCCTTGCCTGCCCTGCCTATCCCTCCTGAAGAGCTTATAACCGTCCATCACGGCACACCAGTCACGGGACTCATCCCACCAGGTTTTGCTTATGCCAATGTTGTCGTAGCTCTGGGACTGGGCCAAAGCTTCTAGGTCCTCTTGTTTATTCCTCATGCTGCGCGCATTAGTAAAGAGACATTTCAAATGTGCTACAGCATACTCAGCACATCGTGGAGCAGACTGAAGGACCTTGCTAGCACACTGTCCCTCAAACATTGGCGTGCCATCCCATGGCTTATCACTAGCAAGTCTGGTTTTATCCCTTTCTCCTTCCAATCTAGTTTAAAGCTCTTTCAATGAGCCCTGCTAACTCCTGCGCAAAGAGCCTTTTCCCCCTTTGAGACAAGTGTACCCCGTCTGTCGCCAGCAGGCCTGGTGTCATGTAAACCGACCCACAATCAAAAAAACCAAAATCCTGCTGGTGACACCAGTCACGGAGCCAGGTATTGATCTGCTGGGTCTTCCTGTTTCTTCCAACTTCATTCCCTGCAACTGGAAGGATAGAGGAAAACACTACTTGTGCTCCTGATCCCTTAACCAGTCGTCTCAAGGCCCTGAAGTCTCTTTTGATCACCCTTGGACTTCTTATTGCAACTTCATCGCTGCCTACATGACAAAGCAATAATGGATAATAATCCGAGGGCCGTACCAGGGTAGGAAGTTTTCTCGCCACATCTTTAACCCGGGCCCCAGGGAGGCAGCAGACTTCCCTAAGAAGTGGGTCTGGTGAAGATCCGTCTTTTTGACAAAAAGTTATTTCATAAAATCAAAAACATTCATTGGCAAAATAAACTAAAACTCTAGGATTCAACTGAAAACATAAATGTTGAAGAGCTATGGTGCCCATTTTTAACATGATCAGGCTCCATATTGCTCAGTTCCTCTCTCCAAATACAGCAAGTACATGGCATTTTAAATTTCATAACAGGACAGGTAAATCAAAGCTACAAACTTTAGTTTGGTTCCCACATAAAAACCTTAAAACATTTACTGAATCTGTGTTACAGTATATTGTAAACCTACAGTTAAGGGTTTTACATGACAATAAATGTTTCATACTCACTAAAATGGAGGTGGAGTAGAATGCAGTATATAGTACCTCAAAATTAACTTTCTGCAGTCTTTTGTTTTCAAAATAATCAAAAGAAGCCTGCATCTATATCTATACATCCCATTTTCCCTCCATTGGTAAGATGTCTACACTTCAGGAAAAAAGTATGATTACCACTTCAGCTCTCACTAAATACTTACGTAATTTGTAATTCAAACATGAAATACGTAAAGCATTTGGAAAAGTGATAGTGTTCTGACACAGTGTTCTGGTGGCATAAGCTCTGGAACTGTTGGTTCCCCTCCCCACCAATATTTCATACATTCAATATTTGGAAAAAGCTAGCTGTTCTTTTTTAAAAAAAAACCTCATTACATATTTTGTGGGTGTGCATATACTTGAACGCGTGTATGTATGGGAAGAAATAAAAATAAGAAGCGGAGGGGAATAGAAAAAATTTGAGTTAAAAAAAAAAAACACCAACCCTAACAGCAATGAAAAAATCACATGCATAAAAAGCCTTCATTAAGTAAAGTATTAAAAACTGCCCCAAAAATCTTGCAAAAGAATACAAGAAGTCCAAAATATTTGGATTCTGAACTAGTGAAACTCTCTCTCTTCCTCTCAATGTGTGTGCATTTACTATCATCTCGAATCACTCAATAATATTTTCCTTCAACTTCAAAATGATATTTTTCTCTAAACCCAGAAATGTGCAGAGCTAGAAGAGAAAGCATATGCAATTTTTAATGTAGTCTAGTAAAAAATGCAAGTGAAAATTGTTGAGAAGTATACAACAAATAATACTGATGCAACATATCACATATTAAGCTAAGTTTTAACTGATGACATCTTCAGTACCCTCTTTGGGAGCATTCCTAGAATGCATTTTCAGAGAGGTCCCAATCCTACAAAAAGGCATGTTTGTAACTGAATGATAGGGAGCAGCAACATCACTTTTAATACATGTCACACTGGAAAGAACTGTATGAACATGTGAAGTAATAGTATAAATCAAACCTGTGTCACAGTGAATATAAAAACTGTATTAGCTTTGTTAGTTCATAGTTTTAACTGCTTTCAATACAATAGATTTAATGACTACTAAAGGAATTTCTTTTAATATGGAAAGATTCTGGCAGATATTCACAAAGATTTTGCTTAAATTTTATTAAAAATAGTTAAGTATTTTGAAAGCCTAAAATAAAGAATTACAGGTGGCAAAACCTTTCAATAACCTAAGACAACTCATTAAGCCACAGAAATTATATCAGGGTTTGACAGTTATTCTGTTTAAGCTGAGAGGTGTGTTATGCATGCAAAAATACTGTTATCTTAATTAAGATAGTTAATTGTTTTGTTGAATTGTTTGGAGGTGATATAAAAATTAGACTCCTTTAAGGAATTACAGAATCACAGAATAGTTGAGGTTGGAAGGGACCTCTGGAGACTGTCTAGTCCAACCCCCCCCCCCCCCCCCCAACAGGGTCAACTAGAGCAGGTTCCTCAGGGCCATGTCCAGTTGGGTTTTTAATATCTCCAAGGATGGAGACTCCACAACCTCTCTGGGCAGCCTGTTTTAGTGTTTGACCACCCTCACAGTAAAAAAGAGGGTTTTTTTCTTATGTTTAAATGGAATTTCCTGTATTTTAGTTTGTGCCCACTGCCTGTTGTCTTGTCACTGAGAAGAGTCTGGCTCCATTTTCTTTACTTCCTCTCATCAGGTATTTAGACACATTGATAAGATCCCCCCCTGAGCCTTCTCTTCTCCAGGCTAAACAATCCCAGCTCTCTCAGCCTCTTCCTTATGTCAGATGCTCCAATCCCTTAATTATCTTAGTGGCCCTTTATTGGACTCACTCTAGTATGTCCATTTCTTTCTCGCAGTTGGAAGCCCAGAACTGGACACAGTACTCCAGATGTGGTCTCATCAGTGCTGAGTAGATACTTGGTATAGGCTCAGTTGACTCTGATGCCTCCCTTGATGGAGCTTGTTCCTCCTCAGTTGTTCCCAGGGCACTATACCTGTTTTGTAATTGCAGATCTGCAGGCAGAGAAGGAGTCTTCCTTCTGTTGCCAGAAGTCACAAGCTTCAGGTCTTCCCTGACATGGGAGTCTCCATCTACTGGTCATAGGATCACATGATAATTTGGGTTGGAAGGGTCCTCAGTAGGTCATCTAGTCCAACCTCCTCCTCAAAGCAGGGTCAGCTACGAGATTGGACCAGGTTGCTCAGGGCTTTATGCTCCTCTGAGCACAGCCTCTAAATGTACCTCCTT